CAATTAAAAAATTCTAATATTGCTTGTCGACAGGAGATTAAAAATTTTAATGACGTGCTGTTTTTGCATTTCGAATTCTACTTTATTGTTTAACTTAGAGAGTTATTACTTTTACAACTTTTTCTTCATGATAAATTTTTTCACATATGTTTCATATAACGAAACGCATAAATAAGTAAATTCATTTTTACACATAAATAGCCAAGTGAACGAGAGTAATCGGTTCCTTTCAGATCACAAACGAGTTTCTGCAACCCGAACGCTCCCATGTTCATATCCTGGAGCAGGTTTGACGTTCAGCAGCGTTCCTCAAACCAGAGACTGCTTAAGTTATATATGTCTGTCTATCTTCGTTCGTCTTGGTTAATATACCCGCCCTCATTCGTCAAACCTTGTTGTAGAGTGGCATATCGAACAAGCAACTGGTATAAATATTATAATTGGGCGAAGAGGCGAAACATGAACATCTGTACCACTTGAAGGCTGGGATTTAGAATAGAGCCGCCGCACACTTTTCAAAACTTTCTCTCAATCTATACTCATCCATCCATATGTGTCAAGCACGATTTAAGTATATTCAATGAAAGCATTTCATATCCAATCTTAACGAATTCCGGTTACTGAAAATTTATATATATTTATTTTCTTGTTCCAGTTTTAAAACATAATTAATTTGTATCAGCTGTTCTGACCCTGTCCATCTTAAAATGGAGAATGTTTAGCTGTTGTTAGACCAACTACTAAAGGTAGCGTTGCACACATTTTAAGTAAATCAGGGTGAAGTGTGGATAGGAAAATGTTTCGGCTGTCACAAATCCAGAACTAATTTGTAGACAGTTTAATTTAGTTTAAAGATGGTATTGGCTTATCCGTAAGTACGATAGATGTTTTATAAGTTGTCGAACATTGATAATACAATTTAAAAAGTGCTTCTTGTTGTTCCTCAAACTATTTTCAATGTTCGTGCTGGACTTATGCTAGATTATAGAAAGTCATTTTTAATTAACATATAGTCCTCAACAAATGCACCGCAGCACCCACGAATCTGTGATTTTAAAAGTTCCTATTCGCCTCCTCTTAGATTAGCTTTAACTTTATTATTATTTTTTATACTATACGGATGAATTAATCATACCCAACATATATTTGCACACTTATTGCCCTCAGGAACTCCAGTAGTTTCAATACAAACTATAAATGGTATAAGAACCTCTAACAGGCTAGTAGATGTAAGGCATTGGTTGCCGAGCTACGAAAAAGTCTGGTGTAAAGAGTTATCAACAACGAACCGTATCATTGTCTGTAATACTTATTGACGCTTACATTACTGACACTTCAAATCACTAGCTCACAGTCCAGACATACTTAACAACTCAGCTGTGTTCTGTGTGAAAATGCATAAGGTACTCGAACACTTGTAGACACTATACCTACATATCTATTTTCGGTTATATTTTCAACGCTGCGCCATTGCATGCTCCGCCGAACTTTTGCTGCAAGCAAGCGCAGACGATAAGAAGCGTAAAATTGATGGTCACTTAAAGTTTCGCAACCAACTTGACAGCTGTTGAATGCTGTGCAAATAGACATCACACTCACTCATACATACATGCATTTGCAAACATTTCCTGAAATTGTTGCTGTTGTTGGGAATTGCTACATAACCACAATTGGCGTGTCAGGTCAGCAACACCAGGCAACAACAATAACAATCGCCCGTCATCCAACCGAAAGTTTCAAAGTCTACTCATGCATCGATCAACGCTGTAACAAGCGCTACCAACATAACAGCAACTTTGTGGCGCAACGCTGAACGGATATGGCATTGATGCTGCAGCTCGTCGTTGGAACTGCATTGGCATTTGCCATTAGCAAACTGACACAAACACACATACATGTTTAACAGAGTCCATATGCAATTATATATTTGGGCATGGTTCAAAGCTGCAATCTACATACATATATACCACGAAAGGCCAACAAACCCCTAAATATTACTTTTAGCCTCCTTGAAAGCTTTGGTGTAGTGGAGTCGAAGCGCTTTTCGCACAAAGACCTCGTCGATTATATATATTCTATTTAATAATAATATTTTCAATTTGGTCTTTCAAACATTGAAAAGAATATTTTTTTTTTGTCTGCTTGCTTCGTAGTTTAATCCGATTTCCTGGTGAATTTCAATATAAATATTTTACTTGGCCGATCTCATTATACAAGCTCATACAAAAGGCAATATTTCAGATATTTTCAGAAAGAGCCGCTCTATTGAATTTTTTCCATTGCCGGTTCCTGCCTGAAAATAATATGAATAAAAACCTTGCAGCATATCCTTTCCGAAGGGCTGTTAAGTATCTAAGCATACTAACCCTGCCGTCTGTTTTTACCGTTGTTATCCAGTCATGCCTGGGTTCGTCATATTTAAGATTTATATAGTTCTCTACAAACTGCTAATGTATATTTAGCGCCACGTAGTTCCGTTGTCTGACAGAAAAGTCTTGCAACATATATACAAGTATACAAGTATACTTGTACATATATATTAAATGTAACTGCATCCATCCTCTGATTCTACTGTTATGGAATTATGTCTTAAAAATCTACTCCCGTTATTTTGATATTACTTGTAGTTCTCATTTAACGCAGTACCTCATATTCCTTCATAAGTAAGTCAAAAGAATTCGTTATTTTTAAAGAGTGTATTTCTAATATATATATATATATATCTAATAGTTATCTCCATATAGCAGATGCGATTTATGAGCGGGTTTCCTTTACACAAAATAGACTCAGAGGTTTTTAATTATCTGAGGTTCCCTCTCTGTAATACTAATAATATTTTTAGACTTGACCCAACTATAAAGTGCCACATGTTGGTATGATGCATGGCAATTATAAACAGGGTATACTTTCTGCCGAATAAATCGTAGTAAAATATGTCTGCACTGATTTATATGACCTAGTCGACTAGACGAACGCAACAGTGGGTGCGATAAGTATGATTCTCGACTATACGAGTACGTGGCAGTAAAATAAAATTTGAACTGTTTATTGAAATATTCATTACCTAAATTTCTACTAGTTATTTACTTCAGTACTTGCAAGAAAAGACAAAACCTTTATACTTATTATTTAAAGTAAAATTTAAATGCATGCTACTACTGTAAAGCTCCATTCTCACGCCAATAACAGCAAACAAAAATCGCGTATGTACTTGTATATCTGGCATGCAACATATATAAGGTACTATGAAAAAATTCAAAAAGACAATAGCTACTTTTAATTATTAAAAATAACATATATCACAGCCGGCGGGTCAAAAATAAACATATACGCAGAGTTAACAGCAGACGCAATAGTTGTCAGTGAATTTATGAGCGATTCCATAGGCAGTGCTGGTTCATTGCAATTTTGCTTATTTGTGCTGGATTGCTTTTAGGCACACAAAATAATAATCGCCAGTTTTTGACGTAGCCGCATGTGTAGCTATGAATGACGAAACGTAGTTGTATATGTGTGTGTGTTTTTGATATATGGATTGAAGATATAATATATATGTATATCCATGATATAGTGGATAGTAGTTTAAGCAGTGAAAGTAAATTTTAAATAGAAGAACTTTCAGTGTAGAAGTAATACGATAAGTTATTGACCTTCTGTGCAAAATATATTTGGCTTCAATTCAATTTTTTAGATTCTTGCTTACTTGTTAAGAATTCTCTAACAGTTTTGGATATCTTAAGGTTTCTAAAATAATATACTAATTTGTATCCGTGAAAGTACTCAACTTTTTCATTTATTTCAAATCGTGATCTGCTAAAATTGTAGATCAGCTCAGTAAAACTTTTTCCCGAATGCTCTTCTCTTAAAAAAAAGACGGTCCTGAATAATAATTGTCGTACAGTGGGCGCAATTACTTTCTTAAAAGGCAGTCAACAGTGAAATATGTAATGAAGACTTTAAAGTCTTTGTCCGAATTCTGGCTATTCATTCCCAAATAAAATACCAGACTATGTAAAAACCATTTCACCTCTTAGCCCAGGTAACGGAACCGGCACATCAGCAGCAAAGTTTTGTAATCGTCTGTACCTTTAGAAGAGATTTTGAGCATTACAGTGTATCCGCAAAGTGCGTCCTACTTAACTTGCAAGTCTATCAGCATCTTCTCAGAACACAAAAAACCAATAAAATCGATAGAATGCAATCCCGCTGGTCTATATACTTGAGACTGTACTATAAAATAAGATCCTTCATACAGATCAATGACAGACGGTAAAGGGATCTCATAGAGAAAACTTAAATAGCTTTAGTCCAAGCATAGTTATGAGTATTTCGATTACACCTGGACGAAACAGCTCTGAATGTCAACGGAGGTGAAAGAATTCCAAAAATAATTGTTTCGAATTGAAATTAAAAATTTGTTAGGGCCTTCCTTGATTTAGATTTATATTTAGACATTTCGATAAAATGGAGTCCGATTTTTTATACCTCTGTATAAAAGTTTCTATAGAATTTGAGGTTATACTCTACTTAAGAACAGTAGAAAGTGCATGAGAGAGACGCTTGAACGCGTTGACGTCTGGTGTGACGAATACTTCACCACAAATTAAACAGAATCTCAATCTGGCATTACTAAGGACCAGTAGGTCTATGTATGGCGTGACAGCGGGCCAGTATAACCTAATCTAACCTATTATCATATATAGTATAATATGAGAATTTTCTTTTGATAAATTCATTTTAGTGTGGAGTTGTGTTCGCTGCCATCAAACACTTTTTTAAACATATTTCAATTAATAAAATAAAGTGAGTGTTCTTACCGATTAATTCACTAAAATACCTTTTTAATTTAACATAATTTTAATGTCAACAAAAACGTCAATATTTGCACTTTCTTTATCGTTTTGCTAATTAAAAAATTTCAATTTATTTTTAAGTACTCTCCAGATTGTCTGCCTTGAACCTCTCATTTTTAATCAGTTGCATTATTTTCTCACTTGCAGAGCAAAACTGCTGGAGTGCTCCGCCAAAAAAGGTCAGAACGTGACCGACATCATCAAAACGTTGCTGTCACTGTCCAGATTTCTGCCTGACGAGGACATAAATGATGGCACAAGTGTACTCAAGCGACATACTACGGCATACATATGTTAGCGCATCTTCAAGTAGAAGTAAGTACACTCATAGCCAAATTTACACTGAACAAGCAAACTTGGTGTGTTTAGAGTAGACAGTCGAATACCACCAGAAGAGATGCTGTTGGTAATGAAAAAAGAAAAAGGCTGCAAAAGGCACAAGATGCAAACTAAGCGAAAATTAAGTAAAATGAAATTCAATTGCAAATGTCACGCACTCGCCGCTTGTTCAGCGACCTCCGCTATCTCCGCGGCCTCAATGGACACCTTGTGAAATTATAAGCCAGTTCGGCGTCTCTGTTGCACTAGCCACATAATTTGCAACCCTGTGTGTTCTTTCAGTAAAAGATTCTCCCACTAACGCTCTGCCTGGTGCGTGTCGTCTTACAACGCGCTCTGTGGACCACATACATTAGTGAATTTGCTCTTTCATCAGGCGTATTCTGTATCTTCCATCTGCTGGTTATATTTCACTTTTGCTGCTTCGGCGTTGCTATATCATTAATACCGTTATGTGCATGAAGCTGCAACTTAAATTAAATTCTAACCACTTTCTTATTCTCCAACTTTGTAACTTTCACGGAAAAGCATAGTTGTTAGAGAGTTTGTTTTTAAATTAAAGAAATACATTACATTTTCAGAATCACGTATAATTAAACTCAACATTACTCAATCGGGAATTGAGATAGTTGCTTCTCAACACTTTCACCACCAAGAACACCATCTCTGTTTTCTGTTGAACCTGTAAATACAGTCAGTATTCGCTTGTGTTTATGAATTTTTTTCGAATTATAAGTCCTCGGTTCTTGCATTTATTAACTAGAGCTGAAACCTCAAATTTCTTGATATGCAATTGATATGTTATTAGGTGACTTCGAGAGAGATAAGAAGGATCTGAGTTTTAGGTCTGATCATTTTTTTCAACTCCCAATATAAAGATGTTACCAGATGTAATAATTATTCGTTTTCACGACTTGTGACCAGAGAGAACCAGAATATATATCCAGGGAAAGACAGTAACCTCAGTAACATTAACTAAAGCTAGCCAGGAAATATTTTCCCACTACAACAACAAGTAAAAAAAATTCCAATCCATTTTCCAGCATTACCGCCGGTGCGCCCAACCCAACTACTATCTCAGCAATTTATTATGCATATTCTTGATATAAAAAAAAAATCAAGTGATTATTATTTACCTATCACCTTTATATGCAGGCATCTTTCTTCTCATGGACTGCAACCATTCAGAGAGCAAAGAATATTATGTTAGTCCAAAAACTTACTGTGAACTTCTGAACCAATTTGGTTTCAAGGCCTTGATCATAACTCAAATATTTCGTTCAAACTTTTTTATCAATTCTTAAAAATTTAACCACATTTTCAGCAGCAGATTTCACTTCTAGATTTGACTGAAATTCCGATATTAAAACGCTCGAATTCTAGTCCATCGAATTGTATAAAAAATTATATTTTTTATCTCAAAACAGACTTAGTATATTTAAACTTAGATTTTCTTATAAATGTTGCCGTAGATGTATGGGGTATATGCTTTTTTTCATATAATATAATATATAAATACTCATGCAACAGATTCTTAAAGGCCAATTATATTTAAAAAAAAACATGAAAAAGCGTTAACTTCGGTTGCACACTTCGTTAGTAAAACAAAGTTTTTCATACAAGCACTTGATTTTGATCGCTCAAAAAAAAAATTTGCTCGAAGATTGTACAGTTGTACAGCCTTGTACAATAAGCTATTCCTAATTGCGTTAAGACATCTTGACAAATAAAAAAGTTATTCATGCAAGACCTCGTAAATACTTTATAGAGTCTCGACGATTCCTTATGGGTATTAAAAACTTTGTGACAAACTTAATAAACCCTGTTCAGGGTATAAAAATGTCATTATGGTCTTTCCTAGGTCTTACTACTTTCTCAATACATACATCATATGCAAACAAAATATTTATTCTTTAACATACAAAAAATGTTTCCCAGTGATTAATTCCACTTTCATTTATACCACCAACCCTTTCTGCCTCCACTCTACACTGCGTCTGAGAAAATATAAAAAATTACAAGCGTTTACATGATGTTTCATTTTTATTTATATGCACAATTCCTAGTACTTAACCAGCTACACCGTATTTGGCAAACCATTCGCCGCTGTCACAGCGCCACAACCTGCCCCGCAGTCCCTGCCCCCCACTGTGATTCTCAGTTATTTGTAGCGTTTTTTACGCTTCTGTTTTCTTTCTTATTTACCATATGTGTGTCTATGCCTGTGTGATTGTCGCAGAATCTACAGAGTGGTTCCTAAAATTCAACTGCAGCAAAATGAAACCCACAGCAGTTGTAGCCAGGATAAGAGTCTGTTTTCTGCAGCAACTGGTACAAAGGTTGCCATAGGAGTTGCAGCCGCCACAAAAGTTCAGTGTACCGTTACATTCTTGCGATTCTCAGTATTCGTGCAACTTTTTGTATTTTTGTACTTTTTGCATCAGCTTTCATGGTAATAGTTAAGCAGTTTTGCACTACGCTGCACTCTGAGGTTCTATATTTCGCCACATTTAGTCTCCCGTCGATGCTCTTACTTCTTCACCTCCTGCTTATGTATTTAATCACAATCACAAATATAACATGGTAGTTTGATAAAGCAGAGATTTTTTCTAAACTTAGGTAGAACTCTGCTCCTGTCAATTGGTCACTAAAACCTTTCAGTATCGGGAAATATGTTTATATATTTTTGTTATAGAAAAAATTCCGTTAACTAGCGTAACTAAATTGACCAGATTTCTTAAAATGTTAAGCTTTTATTTATTTGGACAAATCAACTATTAACTCTAGGGTTGTTGCTACTACCCAAGTCCTGCTCAGCAATTGCATCATTCGTCTCAAAATATACTTTTAAACTTCACTCATATGAAACTCAATGACACACATTTTTATTAGCTTTTGCGAAGCTGATGGATTTTCACAAATAATATTTTTATACTAGATATATGTATGTACTTCGGGTGGTCCGAAATTCCGGGGCAATGTCCGATTACAATAAAAAAATATCTATTTTTTTTGAATTTTTCGGATCTGGCGCTAACTAGTTTTCGTGAAGAGCCAAACTAAGGCAACAATAATGATCTAGTACCTTTAAGTACGTATCATAAGTCCTGAAAAAAGCAGTTTTTCAACAAAATCTGCTGATATATTTTCGCTAAATCAATCATCTAAAGTAAGAATAGAAGAGTATTAAAATATTCTCTGACAAACTTAGAACTGAAACTTGGCTTGGTATCAGACGTTTTCACATTAGATTTTCTGAAAATACTGAAATAAAAGCTTTTGCTTTGATTTATTAATGTAATTTTTCACGAGAAAATTTCGACAATAGTATCTTAGATCCATTTTGCCATTTGCAAATTAGAAATCATTGGTAACGACTTTTAGCATATCGCAGAACTTACAGCTTACTTATAACTAATTACTCGAATTTGTTGCTACCTTTTTTAAATAAGCTCACATTTTAACTCATTGCCTTCTCAAGCTGCCCTAGTTCGCGTACAAATTATTCAAATATGCAATTATTCAGCAGTTAAATAAGTTAATGGTGGGTGGTACCACCACAGTTCGGTTGCTGAACGTTAGTATTAATTGGTTGCTAGCAGTGATTTCTAGCAGAAAATGTCTTGCCACAATGTGCGACACGCGACATGCTACAAGCTGATGTTGTTTTTGTCATTATATTTGAAAATGTTCAAAAAAAATATTCAATGAAACAAATATACTCAAATGAAAATTATCATCGGTTATTTTAATTAATTAAAATGGTTATGGAATTTACAAATTTTTATATAATTAATTTAATTGGTTGTTTTTGGTTAAAATAGTGCCAGCATTTCATAATGATTGACAATATACTTGCACAAGTTTTAAAATGTTACTCATACGCCGTGCTGTTCATATGCTATTTTGTATATGAACTCTTAAAAAACTTCACTCCTTACACAAATCGTTTCCGAATTTTTATTTTATTTTATTATTATAATTAATATTTTTTTTCTTTAGTCTGTTCTGTTTTTAATATTCTCCAACTTCTTTATTTTATTTTATTATTATAATTAATATTTTTATTGTATTTATTTTTTATCTTTTGTCTGTTCTGTTTTTAATATTCTCTAACTTTTCATGAACCTAATAATAATGCAAAATCTAAAGTAACCCCATATTAGCAAGTCTAGCATTGCTGTTAAGTTCCATCTTCGATCTTTCATTCGAAAAAGATAGCCTTAACAAGTACGGCATAGAAAACCTTCAGCCGTCAGAAGCTGAAAAGTTTGATGAAGAGTGATTCTATCATCCCTTTCGATTTTCAAATTTAGTAAAGATCGCTCTTTAAAGCATTTTACCTATATTAACCTACAGTCGCCTATTTTACCATCTAATAAGATGGTCGTAATGATCTGTTTCCAAGACTGCTGGGTCGGTCAGGTGAACGTAATCGTAAACAACATGGACTTCATCCTGCTCAAGAACTAACAACTCACCAGTATTCCCCAAAAATACCTGGAACTTGTTTTCTGCTGTTGCAATCACAATGCCATGCTGATGACTGCTCTGAGAGATGGTTTAGTGTTTCGATTTACTTCTTTCAGTGTAACGAACTGCTTTTGTTGGTGTGCCTTTTTGGTGTATAAGTTTCTAAACATTATTTCGCCATCAAGTACATTTGTCTTGCATATTTTTAAAAACTTTAAGTTATAACACTACATGTCTCTCAATATTTGACAGTTGTCACAACCTCGCGACCCTCAAAATAAAAAAATATATTTTACTGTTAATAATGATATTTTAGCTTTTAAAAGTAGTTGAGTCACTTTAAAATCTAAAACCTAGATAGATATATAAATATACACAAACAAAATTATATTTTCTTTTAACTATTCCTCGAGTTGCTATTATCACTCGACTTTAAATGCTCTTCATCGCTTACAATTTTTGGTATTTTATTCACTTGGAGTTTGGCTTTTTTCGCTGTTTTC